CAGACCACGTGACCTGCATTCTACGATACGTCAGATCCCTACTGCGGCCTTTCGGGTGAGGTACCCAATCCTGCCGATGGTGGTGGAGTTCTTTGTGGCGTTCTCTCTTCATACTGACATCGTATTTTAGCTCTCAGTAGGATGGGAGCTTCAGCGTGTCTCCCGATGTCAGTGATCGTGGTTCTGGCAGCACAAAGGACCACAAGAGTTCTAATTGGTATAAACCGAGAGAGGCGATTGGGGAGTCAGTGATGGTTTTGGAAATCATTCTCAGTATTGAGGACCAGAAGCTTCTACACACCCCAGAGAAGAGGAAATCCATTGTCAGCATGGAGACTTCTTACCAGCAAAGGAGGAATGGGGACAGTCTGGAAGGGGTCACCTACCACCAATGGTCATAGTTGGCTTTAATATTGCAGCTGGCTGTCACCGGTTGGTTGTACGATCGGTGTGTAGGCCTTGTTCCTGGTGGAGACGGGAGACACTTCCCATCATCACACCGTGTGGTTGGGCTTTGTGGAAATGTTGACTCTGAACTGTTTATTTTGGTCTTCTGGATTATTACTGAATATCGGTGTGAGACCGGACAATCCAGCGTATAAAGTCCATATTCTGGGTCGTGGTCTGCAGGTCATAGATCATGGACCGGGCGCCTCTAGGGGGAGCAGGAACGAGGGAAGATTCCCAATGTGTGTTGCCCTCCAAGGAAATCCATCAGCACACTGGACAACCATCATGAGAACTTCCAATGTTCCTCCTAATCCAGAACACAAGGTTGCGGCCATAAAAACAACACGATCCGTCCCCCCCCACCAATGTCCATCACCCTACAAATACCCAGCCGGTGAGGAACCTTCTCCTGACCCCTCCAGTCAGTAGATTCAGCTCTCCAGGCATACAGGTTATCACACACCACAAAGATCTCACTGGCAGGTACAGGTTCCATACACCCAGTGGCATCACAAGGGGGGTGCGGGCCGCACTGCCACCATTGGAAGGATGACACCAAAATGACTGACCGTCATTTTGGTGTCACCCCCCTATGAAATGTCGGGCACTCGGTCACGGACCGAGAGCCTGACAGTGTCAGGAGAGAGGAGGGGACACGGCGGCATACCTCATCCCGCCTGGTGAACGCCCCCTCCTCTCCACCAGGATGGCCGCCGGCAGGCATCAATAAGACGACTGCGCATGCGTGATGATGTCATGGCAGGGGGGGACCCGGGCCCCCC